TAATTACAGCTCCCTTTACAGGACCCCTTCAAGGAACCCTAATTCTAATTATCAAGTAAAGGCCCCTAATTTAAAACCCTACCATATATAGACACCTTTAAAGGACCCCTTAAAGGAACCCTTATTCAAATTACTAAGGCCCCTATGTGGGAGTTTCCGAAATAGGGGACCCGAATTTGTTGTGGACCCCAAAATAAGGTACCCTAATTTTCGGAAACTCCCATGTTAGTTATTCAGGATTAGGATTCCTGGAGGTCGGGCTGCTCGCTGCCACGAGCCTTCCACCGACCACGGTCCTGATGCTGGTAGAGGCCCGGGTTTAGGGTTTGGGTGTTTGGGGTTTAGGGGCTTAGGGTCTAGGGGTTCTGCGTTTAGGGGGTCTGCTGGCGAAGTTCGGGTGATGTGATGTTGTTAAACTGTTGTATAAGTACACGGCACCCTCCGCAACATGTGCAGATGCGTCTATTCATGCAATCGCTGTTGTGTGCCCACCAATGACCATCAAGTTCATCATGGGACAATAGCCATTTAGTAAAACATAATGGCCACTTAGAGACACATCTCTATCGGTGCAGGTCCTGCTTCTTCTGCTCCGGACAGGTCTGCAGATTCAAAGGCCCCACTTACATTGACACAAGCACAGCGAAGCTAGCAAAGCCACTGAGAACCGGAGTAGGGGTTAGGGCTTAGGGTTTGGGGACTAGAATTCATAATCGCCATCACCGGTCTCACCACGCGTTCCATTTTGGGGTACCCTGTAGGGTGGAATGTTGCAGATCGGGATCCGGTACATGATTTGACTAGGCTTCTTGGACTCTCCAGATTTCTGTTGAATTAAGTTACTAAGTTTTTTTTCGCGATTAACCCGTGAGTACAGTACGAAGAGGGGGAACCTTAATCGTTCAGGGGGCATTTAAGATCCAAGATACGCTTTGTCAGTATAATCTGTCTGGTTCTTATTAGTAAGAAATGGGGAAGTGGATTATGGATACGATTTATTGGGGGTTATATAAGGACTACTATAGGGATCCATTCCCCCATTCCCTACTAAGCACCAGACAGTCATGTGGAGTGGAGGTTTGAGTTCTAAAGACTCCAACAGAGGCCGGTGCCATCGGCACTCTTCTTTCCGGCCCCCTGGCTTTTAGGGATTTTAGGGTTTAGGGCTTGGAGTTCAGGGCTTTTGGCTTTTGGGTTTTCGGCTCAGAAGGCATGAAGCTACTAGTTGAAGAGTAGTTGCCAATGCAGTTGGTTGCATGCTTCACCATTACTATCGTTCGACATGGGCTTTAGGACAACAAGCTTGTAAGTGTAAGCCAGCCAGAGTTCCTTTGAAGAGGTCTCTTTACAGCCTTCTAGGCGGGTTTAGGGTTTAGGGGGGTCCCTTGCGGGCTTCAGTAGTGGGCCTCCACTAGCAGACCCGGGTTCGAATTCATTCGAACGAAAGACCCTGTTCTTCTGCTGGGCTCTTGCTCAGGAACTTAGTATAAGATACCACAGTAAGGAAACCCCGTACCATAGGGTTTAGGGCTTGAGGGTTTAGGGTCTGGGAATGCCTAGGGTTCAGGGTCTAGGGGCGAAGTCTTGGGTTTAGGGTTTAGGGTTTAGTTGTGAGGTTTAGGGCTGAGGCGTCAACACCCACAACAGCACAGCAAAGCACCAACGTTCTCGAGGCATCTTGATCCCCTTCACCACCTTCCATTGCTGGCTCCTTTGCAACAACATGTGCCTGGGCCGAACTTGAAAGCTCTTGCGTGACAAAGTCCGGCGTGGCCCAGGAATCTACACGGCACACACATTGCTTTGTAGCTATCTGCTTAAAGCCACATTGATTCTTCCGGGCAGGTGTTGCAATCTAAATGAAGATGCTCAGACTCCCGCAGAGGTCATAAGCACACATGCGGCGCCCCAACAGACCCTAAACCCTGCAATCCCGGTTGCCCAGATGGATCTACATCATAGCAGGCTGCCGTCTGGAATTTTCTGAGATCTAGGGCCCGGTACAAAGGTAAAACAAGCACCGAAATCTGATAATTTAGCATGTAGAAAATTATCCCTTTATAGCTCCCTCCCTTACCTTTTCGCTATTTTGTACCTACCAACCCGAATTAGTAAGGCCCAAAGTTACTTCAGTAGCTGAGTATGTCACCTTTGATCTTTCGAGGTTGAAAACATCCTACCATGAACTCTGCCATGTTTTCAAAGGTAGAACCTAAACCCTAAATCCTTCTCTGGCCTAGAGTATCCAGCCCCTAAGTCGAGCCCCAATACTACTAATACTACACTTGCTAGTACTACACTGACTACTATCTAATACTATTAACACGACTAATACTACTAATACTACTAATACTAAACATATTACCTAAACACTACGAACACTAGGAATCCTCAACCTGTGGCGGGCCTCTGGGACTCCTGGGGGGGCTCGAAGATACTAGGGGTGGATGCCTGGAAACCACTACTACGGTTGATGATATAAATCTGCATTACCTTAAGGACTCTAGACTATGGGATTTATGGTATATTCCTTATTATGGGTAATGCAGGATTTATATCATCAACCGTACCGCCTGAAAGGGAATCAAGACGCATAGGATCTTTGGGCACCAAGTAATCGTGAGGTGCCCGAGCCGTGCTCCAACCTCTACTTGGAGGGTCGGGGGACTTAGTAAGTAGGTAGTAAGTAGACTTGTAAGTACCCGAAAAGGGACCCTTATTGGGGTTATGGTACTTATCAGTCCCAAAAACCAGTTACTAAGTCCCCCGACCCTCCAAGTAAGGGCCCCTGGCCCCTCTGGACTGAACCCACACCCCTGTGGTAGATATCTCTTGTCCTAACACCCTAAACGCCAAACCTCAAACCCTCAACCCTAACAGGACCACGATCGAGTTCTGCGAGTACCGCTTCACCCCGGACCGAGAACGCCGCCTCTCCCGCCATCGGCTGCTCGGCAACGTAAGGCTCTTATACAATAGGGGTAAAGGGTTCAGGGTTTCGGGGTTTAGGGCAGGGCTGCATCATGGATTGTCATACCTGTAACCTCCTGCGGCGGAAATTTCCGCCTCATTGCATTGCGGCGTTTATTTCTGCCTCAACTTATCTTTTCTGCCTCCGTTATTTTTTTCTGCCGAAAGAAGTTTCTGGTAGAAGCTACAGAAGAAGAAACGCCGCAAGTAAACAGGAAACGCCGCAAACTGTGGGTGTGTGTGTTAGTATGCTGATGCTCAGGACGCGCACATACTGTCATCGTCATCGCACTCACCGTAATCATCATCATCATCAGCATCTTACATTGATCGTCATCTGCATCTTTATGTCTTCATCTTTATCTTCATCTTAATCTACATCATCATCATCATCATCATCATCATCATCATTGTGTTCAGCATCGTCGTCACCATGGTTAGCGCTTTGCATCATCCTTACAATCACTGTCATCACCATCGTCAGTTCATCGTCATCATCATCTCTATTGTTATCAGGATCACCATCGTCATCATCATCAGTCTTGTCTTCATAGCCATCCACATCAACACCGTAATCGACAGTATTGGCAACAGAAATATTATGATTATGAACGCCACTAGTTGCGAGTCATTGACGGGCGTACTACAGGGAGGCTCAGACAGTGGGAAGGCTGGATAGGCTAGTGAAGTTAGCCGAACGGGTCATAGCAACCCATGGTCCTCTGAAGCCGAAACTAAAGACCCTTGATCCCCTGAATCATTTGGGTTCGATACTCAGGTGTCCGAGCTTCGGATTGGTTCGATGTCTGGGCTGGGGCTCAAGATTGGTGCTTATTCTGTTGGAAAGATCGGTTACGGGTTGAAGGCTTCAGGCCTCGAAGCGAGTTTGGGCTCGGCATCGCTGGGCAGATTATGAGTTTTCTCATCCCGAAATTCGGGCGTGCGACATGCACACTGGGGCTTGGGCTTCCGGCTAGATAGTTTAGGTTTGTAGTTATAGGGCCTACGGAAAGTCAGCGGGAAACACTACGCTAGGGCTTGTCAGCTTGGCATGCTTGGTGCTCGACAAACCAGTTGAAGCGACAAACGGCGAAGGTCCGCAATCCACCACTATGCAAACCGAATAGAAACACAAACCTTGACCTGAAAAACACCAGACCCTGAAGGCCCATGGCTGAAGTGATGATTTGAAGTTTCTTTTGCAACCAGAGCTATGTCCCAATGCTGCAGCAGCTGCGCTTCCCATGTGGCCGAAGCTCGTCTCAAGAGCCGGAGCAGGAAGCTTGAGTCTCTTAACCTTCGACCCTTGGGTTTAGGGTTCAGGGCTTAGGGTTTGGGAGTTTAAGATACACTTTAACCCATAATCAACCAAGCCTCGGTGCTTCCTTAAGGTTTAGGGTTCAGAAACTAGGGCTTTTGGGTCCAGGGTTTACGTGAATGTCTAATCAACCTTGGCTCAAGCTCTCAGCCCTGCTCTCTGGCGAGCTGCCTTGTGCCGCTTCACCACAGCGGACTTCTTCAAGAAATATCTTTGAAGCACACGCAAGTTGATTGTGCGTGTGCTGACTGATAAAGCCACGGTGCAAACTTTCCCCACCGTGTCTTCGTTTCCATCACAGCTGAAAACGACAGGATTAAGCACCAGAGGGGCGGGCGAACGAAGTGCTTCTTTCACATCCCACAGAATGTGGTGGAGTGCGTGCAGTTTCGGCTTAAGTCCAAAAAACATCATCCGAATATCCAACGCATGTCGGGCCAATGCCTTGTAAGCACCCAGGAATGTCTGTAGATTTATAGAAAGACGCTGCGCACACGTCCGAGGCAGAAACACGGCGTGTGTGTAACAGACTCTCAACACAGCCAGCAGGTGCCTTGGCTGATGCTTTGGGGCAGCAGTCTCGGAACAACATTGCAACATGTATTTACAAACACCATCACAACCCGACAAAAGCTGTACCTTGGGGTCAGACTACACAAGCGGACCTGATAACTGTGAAGTCGAGTACCAGAGACGTTGGTTAACTTACATATCAGTATTCAGTTAAGGCGACTGTGCCAAGATGCTTCGTCGCCGACTGTAGCAGTCGGAGCAGCTTTCGGTGCTGCTTCCCAGATTCCGAAGGATTCGTCAGCTCCACCGACACGAACCAGTGTAGGTACCGCACCAGCAGTACTGTGTCCGAGGCCTTGGTGTTTGTCCAAGCAAAGTCTGTCAGGCGCTTCTGCAGGTTGAACAAAGCAGGGCTGAAGTAGCGAAGCGCAGCAGATTCATTGTTCGCACTCAGCCAAAGCTTGAACGAAGCGTGTGCCCGGTGCAGTCGGTCGTTAATGTTGGTGTAGTCGCCCGGAGCATCGAAGAAGCTGAGACGACACAGCAGCGCAATGCCTCCTGCCAGGTCGCGAGCGATACCGACTTTCACGACATGAAAAAGGTCGAGTCGGATGAAGCGCTCTGGTGCGCTTTCATCGAATGGCACTGCGGAGAGTGGTGGAGCGATATCCCATGGTCTGCTCGCATACATAGTTCTGGACCACAAAGGGTCGGAACTGATGTCTTCCCATGGGAAGCCACTCTCTCCTGCTTGGCACATCGAGCAGATGCCCTGGTCACCCGCTGCAGTCACCCGTGCATAGGACCTTCTCAAGTTGAAGACGACTTGAGCATGGTGCTTCATGTCGCCTTTGCACCCAATGAACGCCACGTGATACCTCTTGTTGGATATCAATAGTCCAGATTCGAAGAGGCTTTGCGCTTCGGCAGCGACCAGGTCCATCATGAGAGGATAGATCTCTGGATGATCCTTGTAGACAAAGTCTGGTATGCCGAAGAGGACGTGGCGAGTCAAGTAGGAGTGCCTCTTGACTGTGGAAGCAAACTTTGCAGCCAAAACACTTTCAGGCTGCTGTGCCACTGGACCGTAGCAGTCGGGAACTTCCTGGCGGAGTGGCGCAACGACCGAAGCACAGTCACAAGTAACCTGCTCAGCATCGTACTCGTAACAACCCATTGGACTCCTTCGTGATCGATCTCACATGCAAAGCAATACTTAACACTGCTAGGTTCTACGAAACGGCAAACAAATAAAATGGTGCATGTTGTTTCAGGCAGCTCAATGGTTGTAACCATATAGTTCCCACGACGAGGGCCTTTGCCTTCATCCCCGTAGAGCAGCAAGGGCAGCGTAGTAGACAGCTTGTCTTCATTGTGGAATACAACGTGATCTGGGTGGTGCCATTTGTACATGGTCCAAAACGCACGGCACTGAGACTCCAGCTTCTCAGTTCCTGCGCCAGCCAGAAGGCTGGGTGTCTTCAAGAGATACTTTACCCAATCAGCGATACGGATGTAGTGCATCTCCACTGCCTCTCCATCATCCACAGCGAATGTCTTCGTGCGAATAGGCAGCTTGAGCGACAGACCAAGCCTTGAAAACAGGCGGTGAGCATCCCGCTCAGCATTCTTGGGTGCTGGCTGTCCCCCATCCTCTTTAGGAGGAGGCGGTGGCTTGCCTAGCGCAGCCGTGTAGCCTCGCTTCACAGAGGTCGCGGAAACCTGAGTTGCAAAAAAAACCTCCAAAAACCTAAGGCGCAACGTTAAACCCCACCGCACAACGAAACCCTAAACCCCAGGCCATACACTCCAAAGATTAAAACACGTATCTGGGGACCCTATGCCCCCTTAACCCTGAACCCTCATGGGCAGGAATTTCTACAAACCAGACCCCGGAACCTTGAACTTCCAGACCACAAAGCCCTCTCGAACCGCAGCAGCGAAACTACAAAGCAGCAAAGTCCGCTGAAAACCCCAACCCATCTGATTGCATCGGGGACCACGTTGGCATTTCAGGGTTCATTGCTTGTGGAGTTTCAACTTCGAGGTGAAATGCTAGGAACTCGTAAACATCAGTATAGGGTTTAGGGTTTAGGGGTTTAAGGTTTTGCGGATTTAGGCTCACCGGACAGTAGCCACAGAGCCTTGCCCTCGCCAAGCATCTCCGCGAACACAGAGAGATCTTGCGCAGCAACATCGCCCGAAGTTACATTGGCACCTGGCAAGACTGCCGTAAGTTTAGGATAGTCTGTAGGTGTAGTGGGTTTTGCAGGGTCGGGATCAGTGGGTCGGGTCTGGTGTTTGATTACGATCATTAACACTGAGCCTCTGAAGTTGCGAGGATGGTTACTTGCTACTCCGCTCATGTAACATGAAAGTATTCTCGATCTCGCGGTTTTGAAGGTTGCAACCAGGATCAGGGACGATCAGATCCACCGGGGCTTGAAGCTTTTGAATGGCTAGGGCCGTGGGTTTAAGAGATCGAAGATTAAGCGGTTCATGGTAGATACACGAGCTATTGATTTACAGATCCTATGACTTGCCGTGGTATGAAGTGTGGGCTTACAGCAAGGAGACAGCTTTCAACTCGTAGACTTTTGAGGCTTTCGGGACTCTTGTTTAGTATAATTATTCTGCACTCTCGGGTTTTTGGGGCTTTGCATGGGTTACCTAATGCCTTCAGTAGTAGGGTTTACCTCTAAGGCCTATGTTGCTTTTCTGGCACACACAGAGACACCCCGCTGCAGCTGGAGTTTGTCCAGATGAATTACCTGGGTTTGCAAGCCATGGATCATACCACAGCAACTGAGGTACCTTCGGCAAAAGATGCATCCTAAGACATGATGCGCTTCGGCAGCAAGCAGTCTTGCCGAATAAAGATCGATGGCTGCCTGCGGCCCATTTTGGCATCAGCAACATCCTAGATGTTCCAGTGGTTCGAACTCAGAAGTCTACATACACATATTATGCAGATCAGCCATACACTAGAGGAGAACCTAACAGGCTCGAAGGCTCGAAAGCGCAAGATCACTTCTTGGCCCTCTTCTTCGGAGTCGGAGAGCTAGGGGCCGGGGCTTCCTCTCGCTTGCCATTGCTTTTGGCCTTTGCCTTGGCCTTGTTCTTGGGCTTCCCACGATTGGGCTCCTCCGCCGCTGCCACTGGCTTGGGAGCCAAAGTCCTCGATCGGGCAGGAGCATAATGGAGGTTGTCATCTCAAAAAAAAATTCGATATAAAGATTAACAGAAGTAGCAAATAAGTAGCATGAGCGTGCCACCGTCGCTAGGAGCAATGATAGATGCCGCTGAAGCAATTGCAGTAGCACTCGCAGTCGCAGCAGCAGCAACAGCAGCAGCAGCAGCGCATGAATGAAATGTGGCATTAACATTATCGTTCGTATTCTGACATGAGCAGCAGTAACCATAGCCAGACTAGCCACCCTACTCCCCAAGTGTAGTCGTAGTGGTAGTGGTAGTAGTAGCAGTATTAGTCGTAGTCGTAGTAGTGTAGCAGCAGTAGTAGTGGTAGTCGTAGTAGTCGTAGTAGTCGTAGTAGTAGTGGTAGTAGTAGTAGTAGTAGTAGGAGTAGCAGCAGTAGTAGTAGTAGTAGTAGTAGAGTAGTAACATGTTGCTCTGCTTATTGGGGGACACTTAAAACATGTTGCTCTGCTTATTGGGGGACACCCAAAACATGTTGCTCTGCTTATTGGGGGGACACCCAAAACATGTTGCTCTGCTTATTGGGGGACACTCAAAACATGTTGCTTTGCTTATTGGGGGACACTTAAAACATGTTGCTACGCTTATTGGGGGACAGTTAAAACATGTTGCTCTGCTTATTGGGGGACACTCAAAACATGTTGCTCTGCTTATCGGGACCCAAAACATGTTGCTCTGCTTATTGGGGGACACCCAAAACATGTTGCTCTGCTTATTGGGAGACACTCAAAACATGTTGCTCTGCTTATTGGGGGGGACACCCAAAACATGTTGCTCTGCTTATTGGGGGACACTCAAAACATGTTGCTTTGCTTATTGGGGGACACCCAAAACATATTACTGGGGGACACAAACAAAACACGTTGCTTCGCTTATTGGAGGAGCATGCGCTCAACATAATCCCAACCCCGAGCCAAATCCCAAGATGTCTACTTTTACTTCTTCGGTTATGATACTAAGGGTTTAAGACTAGTTGGTTTCTTTGATATTATCTGCAGGCTGAGGGTTTGCGCTCTCCTTCTTGTAACCACACTAAGCCCCCGATTTCCATTCAAGATAAGAAGCTTGGCACGATCAACGGTGCACATGGCCTCAATGAGCCTGGCATCCGGACGGAAAGAGATAGAGAGACAGAAACAGAGAGAAGGAGAGAGAGTGCGAGGGACTGGAGCAACGTCATGTCTGATACCAGCCATAAGACGAACAGGAGCTGTATCGGAAACAACAACTCGACCTACCCTTGAATGAAGACTTGGGCCAACCGAGGTATGCACCTGCTCTTCACATCGATGAACATCTTGCGCAGCTGCTTCTGCTGCCTCATGGCTGTGGAAGGGAGGCAAGCACAGGTCTGGCAAAGATAAACTTGCGTGCGATTGTAAATCCAAGTATCTCTTTCCTGAAGCCATGAATCATGCCCGCAGAGTAGATCTGCGACATCTCATCGTCGTACCCTGAGATTGAGCCCACCAGCTCAATCAACTTCTCCAGCATCCTTGAGAGTTTCAATGATTTCAAATTATGTAGAGGAGCACACGTTTGTCGCCATGCATCAACTTTGCTGTCACACACGAAGAGTATCCTAAGATCGATGCTTCTCTTGTTGCCCGGATTTTTTCTCCACAGCCTGAAGCCTTGAGGCCACATCGCTCACTTTCTTGACAACCGCTTGTGCACTTTTCACCATCCGGCTGCAAATCTCCGAAGGCTTCTGGTCAGTCTCGATGTCCGGGCACTTGATTGATCTCAAGATTTTCCCTCTGTCTTCGTTCTCACTCTCGGAAGAGACACTCTCAGCCTCCATCTGACCTTAGCTACGAATAGCCAGCAGCCTGATTACACAAGCTCACGAATTGACACAGTCGAAATTCGGACTTTAACTTCCAGCTACGACACCCTCGCCATCATCCTCGTGCTCACCTGGGTCACAATCCTCATCCATCTCTTCAATCATATCATCCGCATCTGCGTCAGCTTCGCCCTCCAAGGCTTCCTGGAAGACCGTGCGCTTGGTGTGCCTGCAGTGGGCCCCGGCAGAGTCTATTTATACAACATGGTTTACAGCCGAGATCCGCGTTAAGGAGGTATGGCACCACAGGTTTGGGGGTTCAAGTTGGGACTCCAGGGCTTCGGGTGATCTTGCTCGTTCTCTACAAAATCAGTTGTCCTGCACATAGTAGTAGCCACGGGGCTTGTTGCTTCCATGAATCTTGACCGCCGCCCAGTACATCTCACCCTCTCCGTAGTCGCTCTGCCTGCCAGTGGAGACTAATACTATACAGCAAGCGCAACACAGGTCCAGCGGGTTTAGGGCTGTGGGGTAGGGATTGATTTGGGGTAGTCGAACACGATATCAGTTTGGGACAGGTGGTCCAAAGCCAAAGCCCAATTACACGATCGGTGATTGATTCCATGTAAACCCACGGGACCCGCAGCCTTCAACTTACTCTTGGGGTGGCCGGGGTAGTGGGGGGCTTAATTATGGGTTTAGGGGTTCGTGTTCTGCCTCGACCCAGACAACAGATCTAGAAGCTTGCTCTTGAGCTTCCCCTCCTGTTTCAGTAGTCCTGCTGATACTACTTAGTAGCAGTAGTAGTGGTCGTAATAGTAGAAGAGTGGTAGAACTGCTGACGCTAGTAGTTTTAGAGATAGCTATAATAATAGCAATAGCAGCCGTAGCTGTAATAATCATCGCCCTAGTAGCACTACTTGTGCTAAGTTCGAAGCCAAGCCCTGAACCCTAAATCCGGCTCTGTCCTGCTACAAAGAGTGGGAGACACACCAATAAATCAACAAGTCAACAAAGACATTATGCCAAATAAAACGTGAACAGAGACACAGAACTTTCCCTCTTGTTGTTGTTAAAGTAAGTATTACTATTCGTAGTAGCGTTAGTGGTAGCCACAGTAACTAGTAGCGCTGTTGCTCCAAAGCCCCAGACATTAAACCCTAGAAGCCTAAGTCCTCCGGTCCTAGGACCCGCAACCCGTGAATAAGGCTCAAACCCTGGCCATCAAAACCACACAACCTAAACCCTAAAACCCCCAGACCTAAGCCCTTATGTCCTCCGGTCCTAGGACCCGCAACCCGTTAATAGGGCCCAAACCCTGGCCATCAAAACCACACAACCTAAACCCTAAAATCCCCAGAAATAAGCCTTTATGTCACAAATCCTGGAAACCCTCTCTAAGGCTGTTGAAATGGCCTGATCCATCCAGGGCGCGAAGCACAATACCGCTTCACGTTCTTGCGCTTCTTCCTGAGCATTGAGACTGGGCTGCATGTAACCATGAAGCAAGGCAACGAGACGAAGCACAGTCGGTTAAGTTGTGGGGAGACGCTCCGACCATCCAGCTGCCTCCATGTCAGCATCCGTCATGAACTCATAATCGGTTTGAACCCACTTTTCGTGGACCCGCTCGTAGAGGTGCTTGATCTTCTTCACGAAGAGCTTCTGAGCGGATGATAGATGAATTCTCGTTTGAGTGAATATTTTTGGTTCGGGAGATCGACTTTAACAGGGCCCAAACCCGGCTGATGCTCATCATGCTCGCTTTTAGGGTGTCCAAAGTCGTCACGTAAATTTACATGACGACTCTTTGCGAAAAATGGGTGTCCAACTTCCCACATCTTCTTTCCATGGGCTACTATCAAGTGGAGCAAAGGGCGAGGTGGGGCAGGGCAGGGCGGGGCTGCAACAGTTATCTGTGCATGAAGACATCGACAACTGCGGGAAAGACTAAGGAAATGAAATTGAGCCCGAGAGGCTGGATCATATCCGAGTTTCTCGAACATGGACATCAAAGTCGGTCGGCGGTCCTTGTCCTTGTATGTGTCGATAACGTCTTTCGGGACCTTGTACTCCCCGTTTGCTCTCGGCTGCACGATCCTGTAGAGTCTGCGGTCCACGGCCGCCTTGGTGAGTTGCTTGGGCGGGTCTCTGCATTTGCCCAGCGCCGCTCGGTCGATGTCGTCCTCATCGGGCTCCTGCTTCACAGCAGCAGCAGCAGCAGCAGCACTGCTTGGCCGCCCTGGGTGGCTGGACTCTGGCTCGGTTCTGCGTGCTGTGGGGCGTGGCGCTGGGTGCCCGGACTGCGGATCGGTTCTGCGTGCTGTGGGGCGAGGTGCTGGGTGCCGCTGGAGCGGCGGCTCCATTGCCGGTGCTGGTGGCGCGGGTGGCTTGGACTGTGGCTCTTGTGGCTCTGTTGCCGGTGCTGCGAGTGGCTTGGACTGTGGCTCCGTTGCCGGTGCTGCGGGCGGCTTGGACTCTGGCTCCGTTGCCGGTGCTGCGGCAGGTTCTTCTGGGTGCCCGGACTCTGGCTCGGCGAGGCTCGCAGCAGGTTCTGCTGGGTGCCCGGACTGTGGCTCGGTGTGGCGCGCTGCGGCGGGTGGCGCTGCCGGTGGCGCAGCGTGCCCGCAGCCTTTCCCAGTTCTCAGTCGCGGCGTGGCAACTCTAGCCACTGGCTGTTTGGCCTGTAGCTCCACTGAGTTGTTGGCATCCACGGGCCCGGGGCTCTCAACCTTGAAAATCTATTGGAGAAGCACCAGCAACTTATAAATACGGAGCACAAAGAAACACTGACATCCCCGGCCTGCGTCTCTTCTAGTGAGGACACAGCACTTTCAATCTGGGACCCTGTTTGCGAAGAGCGCCAGGAAGCCGGAGACGGCAGAGTCGGTTTGACTTCCGCTGCTGCCACCTTCAAAGCCTGGGGTACGACACACGGAAAAGGTTCACAACAGCCGACAGCCAAAGTCCAAAGGTATCTCATCTCGACAGACAAGCAGCCAAGAGCCGATCCTTCTCGGCCATCAGCTGAGCATATTCATCATCATGTTCCAACGACATGGTTTGGTGACGAAGGATGCCAGCACCCCGGCACAGACTCTCTGTGCTCAACACACGACTAGCAAGGGGTCGCATGCTAAAAGTACTCTCGAACCTGGGTGCATCGACAAGAAATGCTCTGAAAAGAAGGTTTTGGGGCATTGCTGCACATGGTGCGGGAGGCTCTCCGGGTATTTCCGCCGCAATGTCGGGTATTTCCGCCGCAATGTCGGGTATTTCCGCCGCAATTCGCGGATGCAAAAACGTCTCAAAACACAGCAATTGGTGTTTTGGCATCAAAATTATGTCTCCTCAGGCACAAAGCAGACCTCCGAATGCAACTGAACTACTTGACCTGCAATTGAGCTAGAAGCATTTCACCCCGAGGAGCATGGTATGCTTTCGGGCAGCACACGTCGCCACTCGTCACTCAGCTCTAAAACTTTCGAAGCTCGAGCATAGGCAATGCAGTCAGGGAGGCCTGCATCCTCCCACATATCATTGAACGTCATATCCCGAAAGAGCTCCGTGGTGCTCTTGTGTGAGGAAACCTGGCATGCATTCTCAGTTAAAGACATAAGAAAAAAACGGCCAGGCTAGCATGCTACAAAAAATGCAAGATGCCTCAAACCCCGCCCAGGAGCCCATGGAATCTTGGGCTTGGTCTGTAGCAATCTCGGTCTTAAACGTAGCAGCCTAGCTGCAAACTTCGGGGTGTACAGCCTGAGCTGTTCAAGAAGTGAACACAACCCCCCCATTTCACGATTCCGCCGCCACCACCACCACCGCCACCACCACCACCACCACCACCACCACCACCACCACCACCACCGCCACCCACCCACACGACCCACACCACCACCACCTCCCAGCACCCCCGCCACCCAAACCTGAAGCCCCCAAAATTGAATGCCTGGCCCAGCAGCTGGGATCGCTTGAGAAGAGGCGTGCCAGTAAAGCGCGTGGTGCCATATTTGTCCACGTATCTCTTCGTCATGACAGTATGCCTGGGATTTGGAACTTTCAGGGGTGAGTGTGCTCGTTGTAGAAAGAAGACATCAAAGGCATTGCTCCAGATCTTCGTTGGTTTCTTTGCGGCGTGGCCATAGATGCCCATATTGAATGAGGTGCGCCATACCTTGTATTGGTACGGGAGTTCTTCTATCTAGGTGTCAGTAAAGGAGAATACAACCCTACTCATCTCTGATTTGTTGCAAGCTAGCTACATACATGCGGCACCTTTTCAGAAAGCGAATGAGCCACTGCAAACGGTCGTGTTTGAACACAACACTGGAAGCTGGGTTTTCCACAACCCAGGCCCCACCCGCCATCTGGATGAGAAGGAGCAGGAGTGCCACCCTGCCAGCACAATGCACAACTATAGACTCCAGGCTGCAGGGGATGCTGGGTTGGGGGATTGGGGTTGGGTTTGTTTACAGCGTCGTCTGGTGCACCGTATACATTGTTGGGCTGGGTCTGAGGGTTGTGGCTTCAGCGAAGTGGTTTTCGCTTAGATTAGATACACTTGAGAACCGCAGGTCTCGCTGATGGGACTACTGCAACCCTAAAGCCAACAAATCTGTAACACCGAAGCGTAAACCCTTAACTCCCCTAAACCCAGAACCCACCGTCCTAGTCCCAGTCTTACTCCCCCAAGTTGTGCCTGGCAACCATTTGGTTTGAAGCTGCAACCGATGGGCGGCTTGGGTCTCCCATAGGAAGAGCCTCCGAACGCCGACTAGTGCCTTTGTTTATCGATACCCAAGAGCTGCAGCAAACTCCCAGCGGGCATAGCACGTCGTTCCATTTGGAATGGAGGATGCTCGCCAAAGCCAGCCTGGGATTTTGAGATAGGGAGAAAACTGAGAGCTACGTATCACAGCTCATTGCGTGGCAACTCCACTAGAAGAGCGATAGTAAGCAGCTGGCAGAAAACCAGATTCCCGATTGATATTGAAGGCGCTGTCAAGGTTGTCGTCGTATGATAGGTCATGAGCTTGCACCGTGAGATTGATGCTGGCAGCCAATCTACAGATCCTTCGTTGCCCTGCGAAGAACTCTACAACCTGATAATGAGAGCCTCCGAGGCCAATCCGTAGGGAAGCCACAAGCACCACCAGCATGATGAAAGCCTGGGTTGAACCAAGGTCTCGGCAAGCAGCTATGGGGTTTGAAACTTGGATGCTAGATCTGTTTGAGATGTTGGGAAGTGAGCACTGGTGGCTTCTGGGTCCCAGCAAAATACAACCGGCACAAATGAGGCAGGCAGCCTTTGGGGCTCCATAATGTATCAGTCGCCGGATAGTCTGATCGATCTGTTGAGCATTCATGGCGGTATCAGGAACGAGCTTCCTCACTTCGCATGCACTACCAGACTGTGTTTGACGATGTCTGCTGCAGCGTTACGGATGATCTGCAAACAGGCAACTTCGATACCCTGCTTTAATTTGGTTTTGCAGAACTGCAGAACTACAGAGCCAAGCCTTCCGTCATACAGCAGGACAAACAGGTTTGGGGGCGGACAAGACACGCGCATCATGAGCATCAGCGGTGTTGCATGGCAGTGCAATAACTGGAGCCGCTACCCCATGACCTCGTTGTTGAGTGGTGCATTAAGCAAATTCACTTCTGGGCCACGAAACCTCTGAACCATTAAATTCATAACCTGGATTCCAGTCACAGTGATCCAAACATCAGAGGAATGGGAATCCGAAGTAACCCTAAATCCTTGAGCGACAATAATACAATCCACACGGCCCCTAGCCCTATCCTGAATATAGCCCCAAACTCATCATCCCCAAATGCCCTGATTCACCCTGATTCTCCAGCCCAACACAGCCCAAATAAACATGGAGATCTGCACCGGATGAGGTATTGATCCCCCACTTGCAGAACGCTGCCAGTGGTCGCGGCGGCATCGGAGTGTACCTGGCAAGGATCTAGGATCAGCGTCAGGGTTGTTAGGGTTTGAGGATGCGTGGGTTCAGACTCTCCAGCTTCGGATGTTCGGACGCAGAGCCCAGATGTACTAAAGAGTATCAGCTGCAGACGAAACGAATCTTTTCACGCGCGCACTCTTGCCCTGATGTTGCTGATTGCTGCCTGCCTTGGCAACCCCAGCTTCGATGACGGTGTGTGTTCTAAGGCACTCCCCAGCCCAGTAGAAAACCAGAACTTAGTGCGAAGGATTCGGGGTTTGAGGGATATGGGGTTTGGGGGTTTAGGGGCTTTTGGGTTTAGGGGTTATTGGGTCGCAGCAAACCCTGAACCCCTGAACCCTAAACGCCTAAACCCTAAACCGCTAAACCCTGAATGATGAATGGGTGGGTGCTTAAGCAAGGGCTAGATTAATGGGGTGAGGCTTTCACTGTTCGGGGTTTTGATGGCTCTAGCGCTTTATGGCACAGGGCTTGGGTTATCAGGTTACACACCTGACATGAGCTGCCAAGCTGATTTTACAAAAAGGTTTGAAGTTTGAGTGCCGGGCACACTTGCATCGAAGGGCAGGCAACTCTGACTCACAGAGCATACTTATAAGTTTGTTTCATGTTGAAGGGGCATTCTTGATGCCCCGAAAAGAACACTCAAAAGTTCGTCTCAGACGAATTCGTCTCAGACTAAACCTGGCTCAACTCGTCGTCCTGCAAGTCCACGGAAGCAGAGCTCAGAGAATGCAGCTACTCCAAAAGCTGGCTAGCATTATGCATTACAAGGAAAGAAGGCCTTAGCATTGAACGGATCGTAGGAACTGGCGGGCCAGCTCGACGGCATGTTTCTCGAAATCACCCTTGAGCTCGAACCGCGCGAACTTCCAAAAGTCATCCTTCATGTCAGGATGTTGAATAAACAACATGAAGAGGTTCTTTTCCAAGACTACTTGTGCGTGTGGAGCAATCGGTCCTGCAATGTGGATGGATTGGGTAGCTCTCCTGCAATTCCCTCGAAAGCCTTCTTGACAGCATAGAAGGCAACCCTGGACGGATCCGTTTTGGGTACCCGCCGACCGGCGAAGGTGTCTTGGGTGCCCTTGGGTGCCCGAGGCTTCTTAACGCGATCATCTTTCCCGGAAGCTTCCTCATCCGCCTTTCTCTTGTTGCTGGGTTTGCCCTTGCTTTGCGGCTCAGCCGTGGCTTTTGCAGCGGCCTTTGCTTTGGCTTTGGACTTTGCCTTCGCCTTGCCCTTAGGCGAAGCTTTGGGGTTCGGTTTTGTTTTGCTCTGCTGCTCCTTTGGCTGGGGCTCCTGATTCTCCTTCTCCTCCTTGTCCGATCCCTCTTGCTCAGTTGGGATCTCCTTCGGCTCTGGGTGCTGGCTTGTGTTGTCAATCTGTGGCGCCTTTTTGGGTCTGCCTGGCTTACGTTTCGGCTCGGATGCTTTCTGGTTCAGTGCCGCTGCTGGCCTTTTGTAGGTTGCTGCCTGCTTGGCTTTGGCTTTGGCTTTGGGTTTCCTTCGAGTTGGCGAAACGGCATCCTTCATGTCGAACTGCTCAGCTCTGGTAACATGCTCCTTGCACAAGAAGCAAGACAAGCAATACAGAAGCTTGCATTTGGATCTACTTCCCCGGCTACTTAAGAGGGTCAGCTAGGGCGGGTAAACCATGTCCTGAGCCCGAAGCAGCTCAGGCGTCAGCATGTCTGAAGCTGGCTTGTCGGACAACTGGCTTACTGCTGCCTCTGGTGCAGCATCACCCAGCTCCGCAGGCTCGGGGCGAGCCTTCACCGGTGTGGGGGGCATTCCACGTGTAGCCGGTTTCTGTGGAGTAAAGCTAGGCGGGGGCATGGCAGCTTCAGATGCAGCCGGAAGCTTTTGATCTTCGATTTGCAAAAGGTGTGCTCGCTTCAATCTTGGCATGTTTGTGGACGGAGGGCTAGCCTGTGTAAAGGGAATGCCATCTTCCATACCAAGACAGGATGGGGTTGAAAGGGCTGGCGGCGGAGGACTGAAATGAACAGTTGGGGCTGTGCTTCCTGTGGGGCTCTCAGGGACTTCGATCAAACCTTCCTTAGAAGGAGGTTCAAGAAAGC